TTATATCCTCCCATCACCTGAGCCTTGGTGGTGTGGTTGTGGAGGGTTCATATAGATGCTCCATTTACATTGGAGCCCTCAGTCTCATTCTTAGCATTATCATCAGTTTCACATCCCAGCATTGACTTATGTGCACTGCAAAAAAGAAGCCTCTCTGACCAAGGTTAAGAACAGCCAACATCTATGGGTATAAGCATAAATATCTAGAAGACAATTTGACAGGATGAGCATTTAGCAAACTAGAAATAACTGGTTCTACCCTAGGGTCTCTGACCTCCCTAGACATGGGCTTTTGACTAGGATTACAGTATCAAGCAAGAAATTCCCTCCTGTAACAGGTCAATATGATCAAAATACATTGTATAAATGCATAGAATTCTCAAAGAAGTAACTTAAAATATTATAACTTTTTTTAAAAATCTGTTTTTCTACGGATACCGTTAAGTTGGGCGTGGTGGTACATGCTTGTAACCCAGCACTTGAAAGTCTGAGGCAGAAGGAAAATGAGTTCAATGCTAGCCTGAGCTACATAGTAAGACCCTGTCTCAAGAAACAAAGAAGCAAGGGAAGTAAAAGAAGGGGAGGAGAAGAAACAAGGGGGTTGGGTAGTAGTTCAGCAATACCATTTGTATTTGCATGTAATTGGTCCTTGGTCTCAAGCCCAGCATGTATGGATAGCAAGCTGCAAGGAGACATGGAGGAAACTTAAACACATATTACTAAGTGAAGGGAACACTATATGATTTCAATATACAGCATCCTGGAAAACTCAGAACCATAGAGACAGTTACTTAGCAATTAAATGTTCAGTAACTAAGACAACACAAAAAGCCCAATTCAAATATAGGCAATAGATTTCCATAAATATCTCTCTAATGACATTATCAGTCATTAGAGAAATGCAAATCAAAACTAGAGTGAGATGTTACCTCACACACTTCACAATGACCATTGTAAAAAGAAAAAAGTATTTGTGAAGATGAGGATGAAATGTAATCCTTAGCAATTCTTTGAAAAGTAAAGATACTGGCTAAAGAGATGGCCCAGCAGTTAAGAGCACTGGTTGCTTCTCCAGAAGACCCAGGTTCAATCCCCAGCACCCACACAGCATCTCACAATTGTCTGTAACTCTAGGTTCAAAGGATCTGACTCCTCCTTCTAGCCTCTGAAGGCATTAGCCATGCACACAGCATACAGTAACATACACATACACACATGCAAAAGTAAACGTTTAAAAAAAATCTTAAGAGATTCTCTTTGAAAAAAAAAATTTTAAAAGAAATTCCAAGATAGGATTATCACAATGGCTCTGCAGTTTTGTCTCAAAGAAACACAAGGGTTTGAAAAGATACTTGCATACCAGTGTTAAAGTAACAATATTCACATTAGCCAAGTGGAAACAACCCAACTGCTCAAAAAATGTATTGTATACACACTGGAATATTAAACCCACAGAAGGAATAAAGTGCTGATGCATGACACAATATAGATGGACTTTAAAGATGTTAAGCAAAATAAGCCAGAAGCAATAGCGCAAACATTGTATGACTTCACGTAGTGTGAGATGTCTACAATAGGCAAACCCTTAAGGACATCAGCAACAGGTGGTTCCCAGTGCCTGGGTTGATGAGGAACACAGCGAATCATTGTTTATTAGCTACAAGGGTTTCTCTGTGGGATGAGGAAAGGGTTCAGGAAATAATGATCCTCGTGCAAAATTATAAATGCACTTAATGCCACTGAATATACACTGAAAAATTACTAAAATAAGCCAGGCAGACTGGTACATGCCTTTAATACCAGCACTCAGGAGGCAGAGGCAAGCAGATCAATTGAGTTCAAGGCCAGTTTAGTCGATACAGTGAGCTCCAGGACAGCCAGAGCAATACAGTGAGACACTGTCTTGAAACAAACAATAGGCAAACACAAACAAAATAACTAAATGGGAGCTGGGGAGATGGTTTGGGTGTTAAGAGCTCCTGCTCCTCTTGAGGAGAACCCGAGTTTGGTCCTCTGGGCCGCTCACAACCCCCTGTAACTCCAGCCGATCTGATGCTTTCCCCTAACTGTCGTGGGCACTCACACTCGTGTCTACACACTCACGCTCTCTCTCCTGCGCTCTGCATATCTTATGACCTCCCTTCGAGCACGGAGTTGGGTGGCGGTGGTGAAAAGGTTAGGAATTTGTGGGGAAGACAGCGTGTCCTTGGGGTCATCACCACCTCTGCTTCTTACAATCTTTCTGCTTCCTCTTCCACATGGATCCCTGAGCCCTGAAAGACATCCCATTTAAGGACGAGTGCTCACAGTCTCTCTCTCTCCATTGTACAGTTGTGGGTCTCTTTGTCAAGTACTGCAGAGTGTTGAGTGGTGTCCTGATTTGCGGGTATCATAAATGTATGGGTATCGATATGTGAGTAGAGAGAATTTGAAAGAAGTCGGAGGGAGGGGAAAGAGTACGATCAAAATATATCCTATGAAAAACAGAATAAGAACTGTTGGGGATCAGTTGCCTGATTTTACCATGGAGTAGGAGCCAGTTAACAGCATGGAGGAAGACATGGGAAGAACCCATTCCATTGTAACCCAGAAAGTGCACACATTAACTTGGGTTCCCACCTGAGCCAGTGAGTTCCCTTCACACAGGCCTCCCTCTGCCCCCCTCCCGCCCACCTCTCCACCTCACTCTACCCACCCACCACCCCCACCACCCACTCTGTGGATTTCTGCCCAGCTTCTAGTGGGCAGAGAGGATGCCTGTTGGAAGGCCCCCTTGATCTTTGGTGATGCTCCAGGAAAACCTGGAGGATGTTGGCTCAGCAAGCCTGGGCCTTGTGTTTCTCTGCTATGCGGATCAACTAAGGGCAGGCCTTCCTTCCTTTAGACACAGAATCACCATTGAGAGGCAGGATGACACACACTTCCATACTTTTTTCCTACTTGGGGTTCTGCATCCTGCCTACAGTGAACACATTGTGCTGAACATTGGGGTCCTATGAGAGGAAGCAACTCCCATTACCCCTTCCTCTCGACTTGATAGGATGGTGACAGATTCTGGATTTCCTTATGAACCAAAGGTAGCCCACCCCTGCCTCACGCCGCATCACAAGGGAGCACGGGGCTTCCTGCCCTTGCTTCTGTTCTCCCCTGAGATAGGCTAGCAGGATGCAGATGCTGCTTTCTGAGGAATATAGTAGGCCAGTAAGGATCCACCCCATGTATTTAAGAGTGCCCCCTCTTCCTTTCTGACTCCCAGTTTTCCTCCCAATCCACTTCCAAATCCTCCTTGATCCATGAGGAACTTAAGACTCCCAGGCCCTGTTTCTCATCTCCAGTCCCTGCTCTTCCAGGATCCAGATCTGTGGATTCAGAGCTTTCTCTGAATCTCCCTTGCTATTTCCAGTTTCAGGAGTACCTGCTTCACATCTGTGATCAGCAGCTCCAACCATCTTTCTTACCCATTTTCGGTCTACCTGCCTCCAACTCCTTAGTGACGGACAGTTTCTATAGTAACCTCCAGAAACCATCACCTCCTGGTCTCCAGCTCCAATTCTCCAATCGCTCTTCCCCTTAAAGCCAAGGCTCTTTCCCAGCTTGCTCACTCCTCCCTCTTGGTCTTTACCCATGCTCGCTTGTACATGGAGAGACTTCCTTTTCCTAACCTTCATTAATAACAGCACCAGCAAAATGCGATCTAGCTACTCTTGAGTGTGGGTGCTTAGTCTCACTCCTAAGAATTCTTCACTTGTTTCTCAATCCTCAATTTAATCTCTCCTATCTTTGCCGTCAACTGCCAATGAACTGTTTGGGGGGGGGGTTGTTGGTTTGGTTTGGGGTATTTTTTAAATTAATTTATTTATTTTGGTTTTTTTGCTTGTTTTTGTTTTGGCTTGGGGGGTGCTTTTTGAGACAGGGATTCTCTATGTCAGGCTGGCCTCAAAACTCACAGAGATCCACCTGTCTCTGCCTGTCGAGAGCTGAGATTAAAGGCATGCACCAACACTGCCCAGCAGAACTGTTTTCTGTCTTCAAGAACACACAAAGACCAACTCTGGAGGGCAGTTGATACCTCACTGCCTCTTGTACTGTGCTCAGTAAACCTACAAAAGAAAAAAGAAGCCGCCTTTGTGGACCCCCACGCCCCAACAATTGTACTTGTATGAAACAAAAGCCCTCAAGAGAGCTAATTCTACTTGTCACCAATTGCTTTCCTGTCGATCCACTGCAAGTCTTATCTCTACATTTCTCAGTGTGACAGTCAGCACAAGTCCTGTCTCAGCGGCTAGCCTGGCCGCTCTTCAGCGGGTATCATTTTCGGCTTGAGCTGCTTTCCTCCTCTGGTTCCAGGTCTGCGCTCTCCTGGCCTCCCTCCTGCTGCGCTGGCTGTGGCTTCCTAGTGCCCTGTGCTCACTGGTTCCCTCAGGACTTTTCCTTCTTCTCTTCCCTTCGGACTCCCAATCCATTTTATTGCATCCCTGAGGTACATGGGTGGAGCAGACAGAGTGAGTAAATTGTCAAAGGGAGGGAGTGACCAACACAGAGCTAGATTGAACGTTTTTTTTTTTTTTTTAAGGGAAAGATAGGCAGCTTGTTTCCTATGGGAATTCAAGCCTGAGCTATACTTTTAGTTAAAGTACCTTAACAAGAGCCCTTCCTTTTCGGCACAAGTCCCATAGGAATTCTGTCGAATGCGACCCATCAAAACGAAAGGCAGACTTAAGCACCTATACCACAGGAAGAGCATTTCCTGCTTTATCACATACAGCAATGGACATGAAAGAAAATCCAGCTGGCTCTTTGCTTATGGGTACAGAGTATATTTGGAGAATACCATGCCTCACTTGCACAGTAGTGGAAATGACTGTTGACAGCCTTTGTTAGGGAAGGTGTAGAAGCTTTGGGAACCTACAAACTCTTCAGTCTTGAAATGGTTATCCTCTCTGTGCTAACCAGTGCCTTCTGCTGAGGTGACAGAAGATCTGACATTGATTTCCTAGCTGGGTGATACCAATCAATTGTGGACAATTTTTGAAGCATTTGTGGGAGTAGCCATGAGGCCCCAGGGTTGGTTGGGCCGAAGCAGGTGTTCCTGGAACTGTGTAGGCATTGTCAGAATGGAGGCTAATCAGTTGGTCTTCTTGGCACGGAGAGGCTTGGCCTTTGCATCTTCCGTAGTCTGCTCCACGTCTGCTCTTATATTGTGGTCTCCGGCAGGAGTTTGGTTCTTCGGCTCTTCAGGTTTGGCCTCTGCTTCAGACTTAGGTAGGACAATGGGTTCTTCCAGCCTTTCACATTTCACTTCAGGGTTAACCCAGTGTGAAAAGAACGTCATCTTATTTTCCACTTCAGGTTCTGAGGCTGCTGGAAAGGTGGGACTCTAGTGAGTATGGTCTCCTCCATCAGACCTTCCAACTCCCAGCCCTACCAAGTTTTACCCCCTGTAAAATGGCCTGGAAGAAATTTTTCTGTTTAAAAAATGAAGCCCCTTTGAACACTGAATTGGGCCAGCAGATGTTGGCCCAATAAGTTGGCATTGTAAGGTCTGGTCTGGTAAGAGCTGGACGCCCCAGGCTGAGCACCCCCAGGAACCTTTGGGTGAGATAGTTTGGTTTATTCTAACAGCTGTGCAGATAATTTTTATCTGTCCCAAGGAATCCTGAAGGATGCCCTGGGAGCCAGTGAAGAAAATGGTAAAAGTGTTGGCATGGAAACCAAAAGCCAAGGGGATAGAGATGGTGGATCTACAGAGAGAGGTCTTACCAGTCCCTCCTCACTGAAAGTAACTTGCTTAAACTAAAATTCTACCTGAGAAAGATCCTAAAGAGGTGATGGGAAGCCAAGCAGTCCTGAGGCTCTGCTTAGAAACCTTCTCCTGGTCCATGAACCTCGGCAAAGTGTCTGTTTGTGCTCTGTGATTCTCAGGGAGTTTGGATTCCACTAGGCCCTTCATTTTCCCTGCTTGGGTAAGGACTGGCCTTCACTCTGGTCTAACAGGTCCAGGGGACCTTTGGGTTGGATTATTCACTTTGGTCCCCAGCTACATACAAAATACTTGGGTCTCTATTGTGTCCCAACTGCTCGGTGGGCAGAGCCTTAGGACACTGTGCTCAGTCTAGGTTGCCTCCACTCTACTCTACTGTCTTTAGTTTGGCTGAAAATTCTTCCAGGAAGACCCACTCTAGATCTGAAGGACTTGGGGACCCTAGTAAGATAGGAGTCTTGGAGCAGTGTTTTCCTTTACTTGCTTAGATTCCCAAAGATCCCCTGTGTGGAGACCAAAAATTATTCCCTGTCCTGTCTGAATGGGACTTCTCCAAATGTACCTCTAGGGATTTCTTTTTTAGGTAAAAATTTAGTTTGGGAACGATAACTGCTCTGAGTGATTGTGGAATGTCATTTGTATTTCAGCCTGGAATACATCTCTGTATACGGTGTACGGGCACTGTGAACACATGTCCAGAGTTTAGAATGCCACTATTAAGGTAAGACTGACTCAGCGATTCCGATGGGCCCCTGACCGCATCTCTGTGATTGTGTACTGACTAGGAATGCCAGGGTAATCCACAAAACAGCAGGCAGCCCTGGCAGGAGAGCAAATGTGTTTCCTGTTTCTAAATGGCTGTGTAAGACAAGGCTTGGGCAGCTAGGACTAGTGGTAACATCCGGTGAGTCTGTAGCTTCTGGTCGAGCCTGTCAGCGTTCAGCAGTCTAACCTAAGTAGGGATCTGATTACTATCTATGTGTCTCAGACCTGTTTTCCAGTGAAGAACAGAACCAAGTTGCTGCCGGAGCTCCTGGAATACTGTAGACAGTAATTTTCAGTCTCAGAAATTATGGTACCCTTGCAGGTCTTCCTACATGTGATCTGTGGGCTCTGCCACAATGTTTTTTGTCTAATCAATCAACTATGGACTGACCCAGGTTGCCACAATAGAGCAGTACAGGTCATCATTGTCAGGGGCTGCTAGGGCTCTGGAGGAAAATTCACCAAAGATTGGGACTGGGCTGTTTAGGGCAGGCGCTGCTGCTCGTCAAAGGCTAGAAGTAGCCAGATAGACTGCTTGCTGGATCTTTAGGGACCAGTTCCAGCAATATTAAATCAAGCTGCTGTTTCAACCCCTTCTGCAGGGAGAACTCCAGCAGGCACACTCCAGGACAAGGCTGCTACCCTCTTGAAATCAGAAGGGGCTTTTAATCAGGGCGATCCCTGGATCTGATGAGACAGGCTCTAACACATGTCATAGCTTATATTATGTGATTCCCTGCATCTACAAACTTTCTGGATGTGTGGCAAGCCCCACTGAGGCTACCACTGCCATATTCACAGGTGTCGCCAAGACTTCACACTTGACCCAGAATCTGGGTTTGTCAGTGGAAATGCCCAAGTTTGAGAGTGTAGGAAAGAGGCTGGTAATAATTGAAGTGTAGGAAAATTTATGCACTATGGAGATAAGGGAGTAATTGAATGAGAAAGGGCCATAACCTCCCCGTTGAGGAAAGATCCCTAAAGGCAAACTCAGAACCCATGTGCAGAAGGTGAACTGCAGAAAGAGACCTAGAGATGGCACACTGGTATTTCAGTGTGATGACCCACCACACACACACACACACACTCACACACACGCGCGCGCGCACACACGCACATGCACACACCCCTTTAAGGCCATGTATAAAGGCTACTTAAATAAAAGCTAAAAGGAGAGTAGAACCTAGGCCATGAAATAGGGTTGGAATCTATTCTGTAGTGGCCTTCTGTGGATGCTAGAGTCAAGGGGATGGTAGCCCATCCTTCAGTGGTTGTTGGTTGTTGGGTTTCTGGGCTCTGAACATATGGGAAGTGAAGTAGTGTGCTATAAGATGCCCCAGGAAGTCCTCCAAAGATAAAGGGAAAGTTCAATGTTTAAATGCACGCATTTATATCTTCCTATACGCAGGGGCACCTTAGGGCCTTTGGTATATAGGAACAGCTGGTGACAGGAATGTAAGATCATAGGGCATTGTTTTGGGTTCAAGAAGCTCTGGGCCCTGGGAGAAAGAAGGAATCTAATACTCAAGGGCTGCTGACCTTCACTGTTCAAGACAAGTTTCTTGTTTTTCTTCCTCTTCTTTTGCTGGTTTGCAGGAACCCCGGATTCTTCCACACTTGACGAAGACAGCGAGCCTGCATCCTGGGACATATTTGACTCTTGAGGTGTCTGCTTTTGCTGATGATGATCAGGACAGTAATATTGGATGTTGGCATCACCAGTTGATGGGGCAGCTGACTGAGTTGAAGATTTCTGGTCTGTTGATTGTGATGGTGTGAGGCTGGACGTCAGTGAAATGTCTCTGGAGTGTTGGGAACAGAGCTCTGAACTCTTGTCAAACAACACTTTTGATGAAGACAATGCCTCCAGGCAAGAAAAGCTCTGGGATGTTCTCAGTGGAATAGCAGTGGTCTGTTTGCTCTCACCCCCCAGCAGCTGCTGAATTTCCAGAGCCATACCATTGCAGATTGGGCACGAAGGATCTGAGCACAGGAGCTTCCGCACACTTCCTTCCTGAGGAAGCCAGCCCTGGCTGGGAAGGAAAGTGGCAACTATTAAAGACAGCATGGAACCTGCCCCCTCAGAAGAGGGTGAGGATTGCTTTCCTTCCTGCACCCTACATGCCCTGGCCTACACCTCCTGATGTCTGCCACTCTGCTTTTCTTCCTGGGGAAATCTGGGTCAGTTTTCTGCCAACTGTATTGAGAAGCTGAACTAGAAGAAGAAGAAAAAAACATGCAGATGGGTACCAAGTGATTAGCTGATGGGCATCACCAAGGACACCACCACATAAGGCCTGAATAGGTTTTTTGTGGGGGGGGGCTAAGAAACGTGGTGCCTGGTAAACGGTATATCCAAACTGTGAGATATGAGGTCCTCATTCTAAGAACTGAGGTGTCCCTGTTGCTGTCCCCAGCATCTCTTAGGAATCACTCTCACTCTAAAGAAGTCCTAAGGGAGCGTATAAGATGACTGACTGAGGGTATCCCAGGCCTCCTGAGGAGATATGTGTGTCAGCAGAATTCAGCCAGACACAGAGCTCTGCCCCTGAAAGGATGTATCTGGAAAGATATGGGACTATTCACTTGTCTCTTGACAGGAGCAACGTCAGCACTAGTGACTCCTGAAATGCAGAACTACTCGGACCCTGAGTAAAATGGGTGGCTCTTCCCTCTTGAGGGACATACGAACCCTCTCGCCTTGGCAGTCTTCTCAACTTGGACTGATACCTTCTCTCCATGGTGCATCTCTCTCTAGTCAACACCCCCATCCTCATCCTTCACCCAGGCCAGGCCGGGGGTTGGAAGACCACAGAGAGCAAGCAACAGGTCACCTTTTCATGATAGAGAGCAGCTTCTGCAGATTCTCAGCTTCTTCCTTGGACGTTCTCTTAGCTGAAGGAGGGGGACACAGAGTTAGGCAGAAAGGAAAGTTGAGGCGGCAGCCTATAAGCTGAAGGTAACTGGGCGGTGGCGGTGGTGGTGCACACCTTTAGTCCCAGGACTCGGAAGCCAGGGGCAGGTGCCCAGCCTGGTCTACAGAGTGAGATCCAGGACAGCCAGGGCTACACAGTGAGACCCTGTCTTAAGAAACGACAACAACAAAAAGAGTCTGAAGGCTTTTGAAGGACAGTGACCCACAACCTCAAAAGTAAATGCTTTATATACAACTATTTGCTGCGCTGCCTATCCCCAACCACACTATTAGTGTACATTTTGTGGACAACAAAGATGGAGGTAACGTGACTTCCACAGGGCTTTAAAATTAGATAATGACAGGATTAAGGACGTGGGCTCCACACCCTTGTACTTTATTTCAGGAAGGTCAGACAGAAAATGGAGTACACCTGGTCTCTTTCCCACCTCATTTCTTCTTCAGTCACTGATTTATAGCACAGTCCTCAAGGGCTGCAAACTCCTGGCTTCCGGTGCCAGTCAGCGCAGAGGGTCAGGATCTGTGGAAACCTCACCCACAGAGGTAAGGAGTCAAAGAAACTGGGATTTACCTCTTAATGTTCTATCTCTCGGCCTTTGTTTGACTCTTCGGTAACACTTGAAAGACAAAAGCATTAGAATATGAGTGGAAACACAAATGGTTTTCACATCTAAAGTGAAACAGCATCCAGAAATGTCCCCTAGGCTTTTCCTGTACTCTAGCTTTGCCTTCCCTTCTCATCACCCCAGTCTTTCTCTTCTGATTTCTGACTCAACTTGAGGCTCTTTGTGAGCTATACCTTCCTTCCCACTTCATGGACAAGTTCTGTGTTGGATTCAAAGGGCAAGAAAAAGACGGGACAAACTAAACAATGGGCAACACTAGTCACCCATGGGCTTCAGTTACCAAAAGTCCCAAATGTTCACCAACCAAGGTAATGACCCAAATCAGAGCTGATCTGGGATCCCGTGAAAGAAATCCTCACTAAAAAGAAAAAAGTCAAGGGGTAAGATAACCAAGTGACAGTGAGGGGTTAAACTCCTTGTAAACAATGGACTCGGACCTGGTCATAGTTTTTCCCTACCTTGTAACAGCTTTTGTTAGGTCCCAGCCTTAATTCTTGATGGCTCCTTTTCACGTGCCAAATAATTAATGCAATAATAAAGATAGATCCATAAGTATATAATGGGTATCCCACATCCCACAGAATAAAAGTAGGGCTCAACATCATTCAACTTCCCTAGTCATCCCTCTCCCAGGTTTCCAGGGTGTTAGAACGCAATGCCTCTGAGTTCTAGAGTTTGGCTCTTTACCTCACAGAAGAGATACCCAGGCCACCACACTACCTCACAAAGCCCTCCTGTTCCACGGAGCAGGCGCAGAATTGCAAACCTTCATCTAGCTTGGATAGAGTCATGTGGCGGTTCAACATTCAGATGAGAGTGTCACAGGCTGCAGAGCCTGTGACAAAAGATGTCACAGTCACAGGTGGCAGGTGCCTCTTTGTGCTTCCCTACTCCCTGCACTGTGACTGCTTAGTTCTCTGTTGATCCCATAGTCTGGCAATTGTCTGCACATAACAGTCTTTATGCACATTACATACACCTTAAACAAGCCAGAGGCTAAGTCAAAGGAATACCATAAAAAACTACATTATCTGTCCTGAGGAGATAACTAAAATCATACAGCAGGGTTGGGCAGGAATTATATGGTTAAATCTTTAAAAGGATAATTTTAAAGTCACAGGCAATGACTGATAGTATTGAAAGGTTTAGGAAGAGGATTATGTAAAATAGGTCAGGAGGAAAGAAAATCTATGTGGCTGCTGTCCTAAATGTTTCTGGACATGTGCTAGGCTGTGTAGTCTATCTTGAAATAGGCAGGATGATATCAACGGTACCTTTCACGGAAGCACATGATTAAGACTAACTTAGAAAACTCCAGTCAAGGTGTGGTCCTTTACAATTGTGGCACCTGGCCTATTCCTTTAGATAGATTATTGGCAAGACTTTCATCAAGGGCTACCAACTGCTGAATCTTTAGTTGAAACCACTATGATTATAATATTTGAAATAATGTTTATAAAAATCTGAATGTCCTTAGGCATAGCAAGATTTCCTCCATTCAGCCCCAATGCCTACCCTTCCTATGTCCACTCATTCACAAATTAATGTCAACTTCATGACCCTTAGTGACAGGACAGTACGTCTCCAACAATTTCTTGGAGAAATTCTTGTTCTGATTAAGAGTGGCCTTGGTTCAAAGTCTCTGAAAAGGCCATTTGGTCCTTCCTTCAGCATCCAGCCCTCCGTCAATCAGACATGGTATTTGATCTGTGCTCACCCTGAATTAGTACCAAAAGGTATATAAGAACTGCATTGCCTGCTTGTTCACAGGACACTTTAAAAAGTCTAGTTTCAAAGGCAAAACTAACTCATTTGAAGCAAGAGCCATTCTTTCCAGGGACTGGGGAAGTATGAAATAGCATTTAATAGGGACGCTGTCTGTTCTGGAAATTAACAGTGGTAATGATACTTCAACATTTGAATGCCCTTCATGCTTCTGGGCTATCCACTTGCGAATGATTAAGGGATGGACACGGAGCTCACCGAGAGACCATTTGTCCAGCCGGTAGAAAGCTTTGGCTTGATCCCAGCACCAAAAGAAATAATTACAAGAAAATTATTTAAATGGTGACTTTATTTTATACTAAGCATGTCATAGCAAAATTTAAAAAGAAAACTGTTGTTGCAAGGAAGAATGTTGTAGAAATTTTTTCATAAATGTATCAGTGAATGTTTCCCTTAAATGTCTCCTATCTACAAAACAAAATCAATTTTTAGATTAAAGATGATTTTAGGAAAAGTTTCCATGTGACTATGAGATGAATTTGAGCCATTTCAACATCCTTTATAAATTTTCAAATATCAAATGAGATAGGGATGAGAATATTTCTTCAAACAAAGAATACTTAATGATAGGTTAGCAAAAGCCACGTGAAAAGCAGCATGATGGGGTTTGGATGGGGAATAGCCCCGCAGGCTCTTATTTTGACTCTGGGGTCTCTGGAGACCTCAAGAGGGGTCAAGCTGGCAGAAGTGATTCACCAGGGCCGGCCTCCACAGATTACAGATCTTGATCAGTTCCCCTTTCTCTGCTTCCCGGACCCCACCACCATGGGAACAGCCGCTGCCTCCTGTTCCCGCTGCGGCAGGCTAAGCCACCCTTGCATGCTTCCCTGCTATGAAAACTGAAACTGTAAACAAGCCAAGGTAAATCTCACCCTCCTGCCTGTCAGCTGTTTTGGTTCCAGTGACACAATTCATACAATCGGCATGTCACATGCCTGAAAAGAGATTTCTTTTACTGTCAAGGATCCCTCCCTGCTCTGAAACTCAAAAGGTTCCAAAGTCTGACTTTCTAAAAAACTCTAGCATGATGCCACACACGGAAAGTTCCATGTCTAATCTCATGTGACAGGCCATAGTCCAAGCGCAGGTGCATTAAACAACCTTAAGTCTGCATCCATGACGTATCCAGGAAACCTAAGTGACTTCCTGGTAGTTACATATGCGCAAATATGTCTAAAAACCCAAAGTACTTCTGACCTCAAACCTTCCAGAGAGTCAACCTGTATAATTTTTTTTTTTTTTTTTTTTTTTTTTTTTTTTTTTTGAGACTGGGTCCCTATATGTCACACAAGCCAGCCTTGAACTCCTCCCACTTCAAGCTCCTAATGCTGGGACTGCAGACATGCTCTCCCAGCACAGCTCACTACGTTTTATTACATTCAGTTGACAGACTCTGACTTCCAGCGGCGGTGGCTGCCCTCTAGGCTACAATGGCAGATCTTCCTGACCTCTTACCCAGGCAAAAATCAACAAATTCTGTAAACCTTGTGCCTACTCCTACTAGGGCACCATTTACTACCTAGGAGACCCATAGCCACTGTGACCCCACCACGCCACTAAGACTTCCCGCGGCACACCAGGCTCTGCTCATGTCTCAGGGTTGAGGAGTTGGAACCCTGTGCTAGGGCAAAATGCCTGCCTGCAGAGTGCCTGCCCTCCAGCATAGTCTCTGCAGTCTGGGGCTTGCCGACAGAAAATGCCTGCCTGCACGGACAGCACAGTGGGATCCGTGTTTCCGAACAAGGGCGCCATCAAGCAGTGGACACTCGAGGCCACTTAGTCATGAGTTATGGATCATCACATCTGTCCTAGCTCGTGTCTGAACAGGAAACAAGGGAGATAGATGAAGCCTATGAGGCGTCTTTGTAGTCACTGGGAGTCCACGGCACAGTAGGGGGCCCTTGTCCGTTCGTTTTTAGGAGACAAGCTTAAGGCGGGCTCTGCTCACATTGTCACGCTGCAGTGCCATGAGTGCTGTCATCAGATTTCTCCAGGAAGCTATTCATGGCTGTAAGTTCATAGGTGCTGTGAGTAGCCTTGTAAAGAAAGATCTGGGTAGACACACCATGGGTGCCAGTGTCGCCTCTCCAAGAAAGCCTTTGGAAAGATCTGCCTGCGTCTCACACTCAGGAAACAGTGATGACAGCGCCGAGGTGTTCTAAGGGTCTGGGGACAGGGATCCATGACCACTTTCCCACACAAGCACCTTTACTAATGTGTTGCACACAGTTCAGTACCTCCAGGGGGCCACTGGAGGGCAGCACAAGCCCACCTAACAGTGCCAGTCCCTGGCAGTGGCCGCAGGGAAGACCTTTTACCAGGTCATCCACTCCAGTGGCTCTCCATGCTCCTGTCAAACCTCAGGGAGGCTGTAAAAACATTTTTGTTCAGGCCTTACCTCAGACAAAATGAGTCAGACTCTCTAGGGGGAGGATCTAGCAACTTATCATAATAAGTAAATATTAAAATTAAAATCTTATGTAATAGACTACTATTATCTGACATCAACTGACCTCCAAAAGGGGGAAATTTATGGACTCAGATGAAATTATGACCTATCTTTGTTTCTTGGGGGTTTTTTTTTCTTTTTTTTTTTCTCTCTCTTTTGTTTGAGATAAGTTTTCTCTGTGTGCCCCTGGTTATTCTAGAACTCACCATGTAGACAAGGCTGATCTCAAACTCATAGAGATCTACCTGCCTCTGCCTCCCCAATGCTGGGATTAAAGGTAGAGACCATCACACCCGGCTTATGCCTTATACTTACACTCAATTTTTTAATTTAATGTCAGGGCATGGACTTGTTGTGAACATCCTAGGAAACCCTAGGAACTTAGTTAAGAAACTTCAATATGTGGGTGGTGGTAGCAGCACACGCCTTTAATCCTAATACTCTGGAGGCAGAGGCAGGAGGATCTCTGTGAGTTCGAGACCAGCCTGGTCTACAGAACTAGTTCCAGGACAGGCTCCAAAACAACAGAGAAACCTTGTCTTGCAAAACCAAAAAAAAAAAAAAAAAAAAAAGCTGCACAAAACTTCAGTATGATTCACTTCACTCAGGCCAAAGAACACAGCTCACAGCTAGGATATGGGACCCTCATCAAGGCGAGAATCTTTCATAGTCTAAGAAGTTATAGAAAAATGGGCTGCAGGGTGGGGTTGGGGTGAGAAGGTACAAACTACCAATACAAAGATGAAAAGAGGTGATTAATG